AGATAGATAGATAGATAGATAGATAGATAGATAGATAGATAGATAGATAGATAGATAGATAGATAATCTTCTGCAAACATACCCAATCCCAGCACCTCCAAAATATTTGGCCGAAAACACCACCCTCCCCCGGAGCAGGTGCCTTCCAGCGGGATGGGATTGCCAACCCCCATCCTCCCCAGCCGGCTGAGCACCATGGGATCGGGATCCAACCCATTCCGAAAGACCGGTTGCAACCGGGCCAGCCCTCTTGCAAGCCTTCCTCCGGCGGAGGGGCCGGGGGGGCGGGGGCGACTGAGCTTGGTCCACCTGCTCTGGAGGTGGGAAGGGGGAGTCGTCTTGCACCAAAGTCTCCCCCCCCCCCCAAAAAAGGGGGCTTTTGATCGCCGCGTTATCAGCCCCACGGATCTTGCAAGCAACCTTGCATCCCCTTTTCTGCGGGTTTTTTTTGGGGGGGGAGGACGTGGGGAGGTGGGGGGGGGCTTCACTCACTTGGGCAGCAGGTCCTCTTGCGCCCCTCAACGCCTCCCCCTTGGCCCCGCCGCGCGCAATTGCAGGGGCGGAATCCCGAAGCAGCGCCCCCTTGCAAAGGAGCTGCAGGAATGGAGGGTGAAGGCGGAAAAGGGGAGGGAGGAGGGAGGGAGGGAGCTGCTCCTTGCCAGGGAGACCCCCCGACACACACACGCACACACGCACCCGCCAAAGGCAAGGATGGCCGCTCTAGCAGCCGGCCACTCTATCGGATTAACCCTTCGGCCGGGTCCCCGCAGCGCCGCAAAGCCCTCCAGAGGCTGGTGCAGCCTGAAATGGGGGGGGGGGGGGCTGGGGAAGGGGGGGGGGGAGGATTTGCCTCTAGCAACGCCTGGGGAGGGGGTCGTGGGGAAGGGCCTGAACGAAAAGGAAAGGAGACCCCAAAGGGGCAGACCTGGATGACTTGAGAATCATCCGTAGACTCGTTAGTCTCAACCTACCTAAGATACAGATAATCAGAGTTGGAAGGAACCATATAGGTCATCTATTGGAATATCCATTGGAAAGCTAATTCTTCACCAAGTGAGAAATCAAATAAGTCCCTAACCAACCCTAGCCTGACAACTTTGTGGTCCAAAAGGTAGAGGGTGAAACTAGAGGGACAGCCATACTGGGCTGAATGCTTACAAACAGAGAAGAAGTGATAGAGGGAGTTGTAACTGCAGGAACCTTGGGTGAGAGTGACCGTGATATTGTTGGAAGAAATATCCTTCTGGCTTCAGTTCCATGTTGGGAAAAAGACACTGGAAACATGGAAGCTGCTTAGAAGGTTTAATGGTGGACAGCAGGACCACATGGCTTGAAGCTCCAAAGAAAGATGATCCCATGCTCCAAGGTGAAGGAAAAGAGAAGGAAGGGCTGATATTCTGAGAGTGACTGGGTTTTATAACCTTTGTTGGGATTTGAATTGGAGCTTGTATTATGATTGGTTGTCAGACTCCCATGATGTCAGCATCCAGTTTTGTTCACCATATTATAAAAAAGATGTCGAGACTAGAAAAAAGTACAGAGAAGAGTAACCAGGATGATTAGCTTGGGTGGGGGGGTTGGACTAGATGACCTACAAAGTCCCTTCCAACTCTGATTATCCGTTATCTGTTTAAAAAGTCCAACCCCCCCACCCAAGCAGGAGACCCTACACCATTTCTGACAAATGGCGGCCCAATCTTTTCTTGAAGGTCTCAGGTGATGGCAACTTCCGAGGGCAACTTCTGTTCCATTGGTTGATAGTTCTGTCAGAAAGTTTCTCCTTATTTCTAGGTTAAATCTCTCCTTGTTCAGTTTCCTCATAGGGTTGTTGTTGTTGTTGTTTAGGGGGACAAATTGTTTAGGCTCAAAAAAACGGTACCTGGGAGAGGGACCTTGCAGTGGATGATCACTGAAATGTGAGCCAGCTGTAGCCCCCCCAAAAGAAGCGCTAATGCAATCCTTGGTAATATAAAAGGAGGCATAGAATCAAAATCAGCTGAGGTATTAGCAGCAAAGATGATTAGGGGACTGGAGGCTAAAACATACAAAGAACAATTGGGCATGTCTAGTTTGATGAAAAGGATTATGGGTAACATGATAGTAATGTTCAAGTATCTCAGGGGTTGCCACAAAGAAGAGGAGGAGTCAAGCTATTCCCCAAAGCACCTGAGGGCAGGAGAAGAAGCCATGGGTGGAAACTAATCAAGGAGAGAAGCAACTTAGAACTAAGGAGGAAAATTCCTGACAGTTAGAACAATTAATCAGTTGCCTCCAGAAGTTGCAAATGATCCAACATTGGAAGCTTTTAAGAAGAGACTGGACAGTCACTTGTCTGAAATGATATAAGATCTCCTGCTTGAGAAGGGGACTACATTAAAAGTCCTCCAATCTCCCTTCCAACTCTATTCTGATGACAATGAAATTACGGAAAGTTTGTGTGCAGTGTTTTCTCTCTCTCTCTCTTTCCCTCCACCTTTTCTTGAACTGATGCTTTTTCACATTTTATGGGGAAAAAATAAGAGTTTCTGCTGAATCACAGACAAATTAACCTGATTGAAGTCTTTTGCATGCAGAAAGAATAATTGCTTTTTGGGTTGTTGCATTACGTACATATGTTGTAAAGATGCTAAAATTGTCCTCTGGGGTCTTAACACATCGTTTAAAATAAGCATCCAAAACAAACAAAATCAGGATTGGTGAATATATATATAATTTTAATAAACATGGGTAGGAACTAGCAGTTACTTTGGAAATACAGAAATAGCAGGGAGGGTATAAAAATACTGGTGCAGAAAACATGATTGTCCATTTTTAGAAATTAGCCCTGCCTTCTGGTTGGGCAAAAAGGAAGACTCAGATTGGCACTAATGCCAATTATCTGTCAACTTCCGAAGAAGTGCTTGGGTTTGTTAGTCAGAGCCTTGACATTATGATCTTAAGAACAATCTAGTTAGAAATAAAAGTTTGCAGCAACTGAAAATAAAAATGTTTTTATTAGCATCACGAAAGCTCTTTCTGAGTAGTGTGGATGTGTAATGTGTTGCTGCCAAATTTTTCCCACCATTGGTTCCTTGCCTATTGTTGTGTTCCTTGCCTATTGTTTGTTCTTTTTCTATATTTTGACTTCAAGAATCATGCAGAGCAGCTGACAGTAATGTCCACAAATTTAATACAAATATATATTAAAGTATATGAAGAAGAATTATAGCCAGTGCTCTGTAAGGCATCTTGGACCAAGCGGAAAAGCAGGCATTTGGGCTTAGAGATAAATGTTTCCCTGTGCCTCTCCATGTTTTTATTATTATAAAAAAATTAATTAAGAGCTTCTGCTGAATTACCTCAGAGCACAACAGAGTTGGAAGGGACCTTAGAGGTCTTCTAGTAGTCCCAACCTCCTGCTCAAGCAAGAAGCCCTCTACCATTTCAGGCAAATGGCTGTCCGGTCTCTTCTTACAAACCTCTAGTAATGGAGCACCCACAATTTCTTGGAGACAAACCATTCCACAGATTATGATTAACTGTAAGTCAAAAACGAATAATCTAAGCTTCCACTTCAGAGTAAAAATCCCCTCGTGATAGAATTCCCTCTGGTTCCAGGCTCGAAATTTTGGGCCTGGCCAATCTGGAACTGTGCTGCCTGCGGTCCTATCTAAGCATAGTTCACAAAATTGTCTGCTACAACATCTTGTCTGTCAATGACTTCTGCTTCAATCACAATAATACACGGGGAAACAACCGATGCAAACTCAAGGTAAACCGCTCCAAACTCCATTGCAGAAAACACGACTTCAAGCAACAGAGTGGTCAACTCCTAGAAGGTCCTAACGGACTCCGGGCTCCCATTGTTACGGCTTCAACCCCTCAGAGCTTCCACCTCAAACTGTCTACTGTGGACCTCCCCGCATTCTTAAGGTCCTTAAAGGGGCCATACATAAGCGCACCATGTCTTACTGTCCCCATTTATCTGTATTTACATCCTTTGTGGTTGTGTATTTTCATACTTATATTTGTCATCTAGTATATGTTTGACAACCAACCAACCAAGCAAAATAAATAAATAAATAAAAATAGAAAACACATACCCTTCTCTCTCACTGGAATTCTCCTTTGTGGCACAAAGGACCAGGCTCAAGATTATCCTACTTAAGAGAGGTGATGTGAAGACCTCACTCTGTTCAGAGGTCCATAAGGCTGGGAAGGGTGGAAGCAGGAGTGGGATGAAACCAGCATTACTACCAGTTCGGTATTTGCGCTATGGGCGCGTGTACTACACCATTTGCTGAGGCACCGGGACAGCTGATAAGCACTGCTTGCGGGTGCACAGCATTTCAAAAAGCACTTTTTTTACTGCTTTTTCAACCTCCGCTGTGCCGCACAAAGCAGCTGAGGTTGAAAAAGCAGGAAATAAAGGTCAGGTAAAAGCCTGGGCAGGCGGGTGGGCCAAACAGCAGCAGAAACAGAATCGGTTCAGCGTCTGCTGCTCTTCAGAGCTACCAGTTCTATAGAGCTGAGCAAACCAGTAGTATCCCACCCCTGAGTGGAAGGCAAGAGAAGAGGAAGGTAAGCAACAAGGGACTTGGTTACAATGGTGAAGATGAGGCCACCATTGGAAGATCTGAAGGATCAGATCGGTGGAGTTCATGGAGGAATCCTCTGTGAAGTTGCTAAGAGTCAACAACACCAACCTGATGGCACCTAATTAGCCAGTTTGCAAGACGAGGGTCTCCCTAAAAAGAGAGGTTTGAGGCATCTTTTAAGGTTGGCAGATTTTATTATTTCAATTTTTAATGATAATTGGTGCCCCCATCACCCTGATAAGCGAGTCCCTCTCCTTCACTGCTGGTCATCTTCTCTTGCAGTCTTCCAATATTTGAGGGGCTGCCACAAAGATGAGGGGGTCAAACTATTTCCCCGAAGCCCCAGAAGGAAAGAGGAGAAACAACAATGAACACTAATCAAGGAGAGAAGCGAGCTAGAACTAAGGAGAAACATCCGAACCGTGAGGAGAATTAAGAAGTGGAACGATTTGCCTCCAGAAGTTGAGTGCTCCAACATTGGAAGTTTTAAAGAAGAGATTGGACAGTCCCTTGTCTGAAATGGTATAGGCCCGTGATGGGGAACCTGTGGCACGCAGAACCATTTGTGCGGGCATGTGAGTCCCAGCCATCTGCACCGCACATGTGCGTGCCTCCCAGCTGATTTTCGTCCTGTTTGAGGCCATTTTTGCGCTCCCAGAAGCACGAGGGAAGCCTCTGCAGCTTCAGGAGGCCAAAAAACGGGCCTTCCGGAAATACTGAAGTGCCCGTTTTCAGCTTCCGGAGGGCCTCTGGAGCTTTGGGGAGGCTGTTTTCGCCCTCCTGGAGGCTCGAGAGAAGCCTCTGCAGCCTTGGGAGACCGAAAAATGGGCCTTCCAGAAATACCGAAAGTGCTGAAATGGGCCGGTTTTTCAGCCTCCCGAGGTTGCAGAGGCTTGTCTCGAGCCTCCAGGAGGGCAAAAACTGCCCTAAATGGGCTGAAAATCAGCTGGGAGGCATATGCATGCACAATGCAGATAAGGGGGCGGGGGTGTTGCACACTTATGTGCAGGGGGGACAGGGCGCATTGCATTGTGGGTGCCAGCACACACACACACACACACGCTTTCGGCACACCACCCCCAAATGGTTCGCTATCACTGGTATAGGGCCTATATACTATAGGGTTTCCTTTTATAGCAGGGGGCTGGACTAGAAGACCTCCATGGCCCCTTCCAACTCTGTTCTGATGATGTTATTGTGATGATCTAATCACGTATGCATCTAATATAGGTACATAAAGTTGCAGGTTTTGCGTCAGGTCCAAGTTGCTTTTATATGGTTTCCTGATATAAACCTTGGATTCAAGAACCCATCAGGCTAAGGCTGATAATCCATTCCAGAGTTCACTATAAGCAGTTAATCGTTGCTTAACCAGGAGCACATTGGGGTGGCTTGCTAAAATATATTACATCCTAAATCATGATTTACAAACCAATAATCATACCCATCAGTGCATGGAGCACTGTTTCTCAGGGTCAGCAAGTTTAAGCTGTTTGGACTTCATTTCCCAGAATTCCCCAGCCTATTTGATTTGATTGATTAATTGATTGATTGGGGTTCCATTTTTCCTCTGCCAGCTCTGGATGCTACATAGGTTTGGTAGAAAGAGAATGACTGGCTCAAAATCCACCCAAAGACCTGGCTTGTGTTAACTTCCATGCTAGTATTTCTCAGGGTCAACAAATGTAAGCTGTGTGGACTTCATTTCCCAGAATTCCCCAGCTTAGGAATTCTGGGAAATGAAGTCCACACAGCTTACATTTGTTGACCCTGAGAAACGTTGCTCCGTGCACCGATGGGTATGATCACTGGTTTGTAAACCCTGGTTTAGGATGCAATATGTTTTAGCAAGCCACCCCAATGCAATCCTGGTTAAGCATTAAGTGCTTATAATGCCGGTAGAACTCTGGAATAGAATATCAGCCTCAGCCTGACATCTATTCCTGGGGATGATGGGTTCTTGAATCCAACTTTTACACCAGGAAACGATATAAAAGCAATTTTGATCATGATGCAAGACCTGCAACTTCACGGACCTGTATTAGATGCATATAATGTCATGATCATGTTTACATTAGATCATCCCAATAACATCATCAGAACAGAGTTGGAAGGGACTTGACTAGCGTTCCTGGGGATGATGGGTTCTTGATCCTGGCATGAAGCCAGGACTTTGGGTGGAATTACCCTTTTTTTATCAAATCTATGGGGAGGGGGGTGTCTTCAAACTTAACAACTTTAAAGCTTGTGGAGTTCAACTCCCAGAATTCCTCCTCCAATCATGTTAGCTCAGGAATTCTGGGAGTTGAAGTCCACAAGTCTTAAACTTGCCAAGTTAGAAGACCCTTGATCTTCTAGTGTCTAGAGCTGTGGGGGGTGGGGGCGGAAACGGAGCCATCAATCAATCAATCAATCAAACCCGCCCTGCCCCAGGCAATCTCCCAAACCTATTTCCCCCAATCTTTTGTGCCCCCTCCCCCCCCTTAATAGGTGAATGGCGTCCCCCTATCCTTTCCAAGGTTTTTAATTAAGGTTTTAGGTTTTTCCCACCTCTTGAAAACCTCCTACCGGTATCTCACCTCGAATCGTTTTCCCACCCACCTCCAAACGGGGCGGGGCCAGAGGAGGCGGGGGGGCGTCTTGCAAAAGTTTTAAGATGGGCAGATCTAAATTCGCACCCAGATCTGGCATCGTGCAAAAAGGAAAAAGAAGAAATAAGAGGACGCCGGCGTGAGCCTTTCAAGCCCAGTTTTCCTTCCCATTCGAGCGGGATGCGAGGTGAATTTGGGGGGGGGGGGGGGGGGGGGGGGGGGGAGAAAGCAACGTGGTTTGCAGCTAATGGATTTCTCTAAGTTCCATTTCTGAATTGCTTTTTCGTCTGAATCCATTTCTCTGCGTTTGGGAGTCAAAGCCTGCGGAACTCACCGCTACTCCGCTTCTCTGGATGCGTTTTTATTACCCGACTTGCTTTAACGTTTATCTATCCAACATCCATATCCTGGCAAGGATGAATAACCCCCTTCCGTTCTTATGCAGTTCTTATTTTAAAAAGGATTTTTTTTTATTTTGGGGTTCAAGAGAGTGGCGTTGAAGGTTCCCCACCGGGATTGTCCGCCCCTCCCCCCCCTCTCTCTCTCTCACACACACACACACACACACACACACATGATCTGGGATTTCACGCGTGGAAAAGTGGGGTAGCAAAATGGTTGATCCAGGAGGAGTCGTGGGCCGGCTGAGGAAGACGAGCAACATCGCTTTGACTTTCCGAGGGGCGGCATATAAATTTAATAAACCGGTCGAGATTGCAATAACGCTCCTATGAAATTCCTAGAGACGTTTGCAAGAAATAGTATTTCAAATGCATTAAAACGTGCATCTCTCTCTCACACACACACACCCGTGATGGGATTACGGCCAATCCCTCTACATCCAGGCCTCCTCCGGTTAAGAAGGAAAAATAAATAAAAGATCTCTTCCCTCTTTTTTTTTTAAGTTTCCTGTGTCTCATTCACAGGATCGCGTGGCAAGGAGTCCCGTAGGCCGCTGCCTGTTGAATGCGTACCAAATTGTGAGGTTTGGGCCTGGCTGCGTTTACACACGTGCTTTATACTTCATTATCTCCCATTTCATTGGGCTTTAAAGTCGGGTCAGCCAGGCAGGAGGAGGTTTGCTGGTTTAAAAGAGAACAGGCAAAGGTGATTGGTGGCTTAGTGTTTCCACCAATTAGTTTAAACCATGATAAGATCGTCTGAAGTTTCTTCTCTTAATCGGTAAACTTAATTGGAAATCTGTGTCTTGGGTATGCTATAAAATCTAACTGATGGATGGTTTATATATACCACTGTATTAAATTATTATGCCATAATCTTTTCTGACAAGTAAGTTTTGTGTTTAATACACCCTCTGCTTTTAAATTAGGGTGTGTGTGTGCGTGTGGAGTTTTTGCAGATGGATTTTGAAAGATTTAGAGCCAGGTTCCTGCAAAGTATTATAAATGTTCAGATGACCTGATAAAGGGTATTCTCTAAATTGAGTGTGTCTCACCAAGGATAAGAATTGTATCCTGCTTAAGTTGGGGGTTAGACTAGAAGTCCTCTAAGGTCCCTTCCAACTCTGTTATTCTGGTAACACGCCTTGCCCCCTGGCTGACCTCTTGCCAATCTAAGCCTATTTAAAAGGGGGAAGACAACCTTTTGTCTTGCTAAACAGTTCCCACCTTCCCATCTTCCCTGGTTTCTTGGGTCTTCAAGGAATACAAATAGCTTACAAATGGATTAGCTGCACCTGGTGGTAGTGGCGCCTCAGGGAAGTGGTTGAAATGCTAATCCTGAGACTGATTGGGTTGAAGAGAAGATAAATGTCCACCTCAGCCCACCCACCTTCCTTGGAGCTGAATAAAATGATCCTTGTCCTTAAAAGAAAGTAGGAAAACCCCCCCCCTCCCAAAATAGGTTGGGCATTTTAAAAATTAATCGTTTTGATTCTGGCTCCTAATGACTTTTTTTTTAACTTGGAGGATCAAACTGAGGAGTGGTGAGATTACATATCTCACTCGTGGTTTTGAGAAGCCTTCTTCCAACAACTTGGATGCATAAAATGAAATTAAGAGTTAAAATACAGCATATTTTAATAAATTAAAAAATTACAGGTAATCCTCAAGTTATAACATTTCATTTAGTGACCGTTCAAAGCAAGGGTCTTCAAACTTAGCAAGTTTAAGCCTTGTGGACTTCAACTCCCAGAATTCCTGAGCTAACATGACTGGAGGAAGAATTCTGGGAGTTGAAGTCCACAAGTCTCAAAGCTGTCAAGTGGGAAGACCCTTGATTTAGATTTATGTGTTTCAAGCATGGCCACCTTAAGACTTGTGGACTTCAACTCCCAGAATTCCAGAATGGACAAACAAATGGCAATTTCAAATCTCAACAAACAAATGCTCTGTCTTACTTATTGGCAAAAAAATATATATCAGAAAATAAAATACAAGCTGAATAGTCAAGACCTTGTTGATGACCCCAACTCTGTCAAGGACTTTGGAGTACTCATCTCTAATGGATTTAAGTGCTAGAGCCCGTTGTAACTACATAGCCAAAAAGGCATTAAGAGTTGTTAACCTAATCCTGCGTAGCTTTGTCTCCGGTAATATTGCACTACTAACTAGAGCATACAAAACATTTGCTAGACCAATGCTTGAATACAGCTCATCAGTCTGGAACACACATTTCGTATCTGATATTAGCACAGTTGAGAAAGTCCAGAAATATTTCATGAGAAGAGTTTTCCACTCCTCTACTCGTTGCAGAATACCTATGCCAGCAGACTTGAAAGTTTAAACCTAGATAACCTAAAACTACTCCGCCTTCAGTCCGATCTAAGTATAGAATATAAAATTATATATTGCAATGTCCTATCTGTCAACGAATACTTCAGCTTCAACCACAACAATACAAGAGCACACAATAGATACAAACTCAAAGTAAACTGCACCAAACTTGATTGCAGGAAATATGACTTCAGCAACATTGTGGTCAATGTCTGAAATACTCTACCTGACTCTGGTTTCTTCCGCAAACCCCAAAAACTTTAACCTTAGACTGTCACTATTGACCTCACCCCTTTCCTAAGAGGTCTGTAGGGGGTGTGCATAAGCGCACCAATGTGCCTACCGGAGGGGTGGGATTAAACCAGTGTTACTACCGGTTTGGTGATTATGTTTTGCAAACCGAATCCTTTTATGAGAGTCCTTTGCTTCACAAACTGGACTTTGTGCTTTCTTTGTAAGTGTTTTTGACATCCCTCAAAATCTTACAAGCGATAATTGCATTTTCCTTCCTCTTTTTTTTTTGTAGCTGCCTGGAAGCTTGCTCCCGCAAAACCCTCCAGATCTTTGAGAGGCAGCCAGAATAGAAATTCTTCCTCGCGTCTCCACTTTGGGTGCTTCGGTGGTTGCCATTTTAAACGGCTCTTTGCAGGGGTTGGGCAAGGCGGTCCTAACTTCGGCCAAATGAGGAAAGCAAAGCTGCGGAAGGAGAAAAGGGACCTCCGGCAAGAGCTGGAAATCAAGATGGAGGTGGCCAAGAAAGGAGGGCTACGGGACGACCCTCCAAGTTTGCAGGCTGAGTTGGGCTTAGGAGCTGGGTCCCAGCCCTCTCTCGCCCCCCAAGCTGGAGGGATAGGGGGATTCTTGGAAATGCCCCACCACCAAGAGGACCAAAGCCTGCATAATCTGTGGGAAACGCAGTTCCAGGAGTTCCTGAAGGACACCGTTTTCGAGAAGCAGCTGCTGGATGATCTAACTCCATGGGAGGATCCTCGGGCCTTCCTGGCCTCCTTCGAGAAAGTTGCCGTGGCTTGCCGCTGGCCGAGAAAAGAGTGGGTGACGCGGCTGCTGCCAGCTCTCAGCGAGGAGGCCGAGAAGGCTTTCATTGCCCTCTCCGCCGAGGATCGGGAAGACTACTGGAAGGTGAAGTCAGCCGTCCTGCACCGTGAGGCCATCTTCAGAGAGAAGCAACGACAAAAGTTCCGCCGGTTTTGCTTTCAAGACGCCGAGGGACCACAGCAAGTCCTCGCCCGGCTCCAGGAGCTCTTCTGCCAGTGGCTGCGGGTCGAGAGGAGCAGCAAAGAGCAGATTCTGGAGCTCCTGCTTCTAGAACAGTTCCTGAACATCCTGCCGCGGGAAATGCAAAACTGGGTCAAGGAACGTACTCCGGACACCTGCCTGGAAGCTGTCGGTCTGGCCGAGGAGTTTCTGAGACGGCTCCAAACAGCTGAAAGGAGTGGAGAACAGGTGAGGAAGGTGCTAAGCAACAGGGTCATTATGTGAGACGTCGCTTAATGACCCTGTTAAGTGAGTTGCAGTGGTTCGAGTGCCGTCCTGCAGGCTACTTCTGCTGACTGCCGGCTGCTTGAAATTTGGCAGTTCGAATCTCACCAGGATCAAGGTTGACTCAGCCTTCCATTCTTCCGAGGTGAAGATTGTTGCGGCGGAGGCACTTTGTAAACCTCTTAGGGCAGTAAAGCGCTGTGAAGCAGTATATAAGTCTAAGTGCTCTTGCAAGACCATGATGGATTTTGGACCTCATTTCTGCCCCTTGTTGTGGAATTTCTTATTAAATGTGCAAACTTCCCAATGCGAACTTTTGTGAACTGTCACCGCCGGTGTTCTAATATAGCAGTGGCATTTAAGACATATATACCGCTCCATAGCCATAGCATTTAGACTTATATACCACTTCACAGCGCTTTACAGCCTTCTCTAAGCGGTTTTACAGAGTTGATCTATTGTCCCCAATGATCTGGGTCCTCATTTTACCCACCTCGGAAAGGATGGAAAGGCTGAGTCTACCTTGAGCCGGTCAGAATCGAACACCTGACAGTGGGCAGACTTAGCTCTGCAATACCGCACTCTATCCGCTGCACCATTAACGGCTCATTATGCTACTGAGACTCTTCGGTTCGTAACCTTCATCTGGGCAAAAGGATGTGTCATTGGTCAACAATTTTTGTATCAGTGTGGACACTGTAGCAGCATCTGGGCTTTTTTTTCCTCCTCCATTTCAGGGGCCAGTAGAAGCAGAGACTCAGCCAGAGATGGCATCAACGCAGAGACCAGACAGGACAGACAGGCAGCAGCAGCAGCAGCAAATCCTGCCACTACCACCACAACTTTATCCCAGTAAGAACTTTTTTATTACTGTTTTTTAAAATGCACCAATTACTATCCTGCTATCTAAATATAGGAGTGTCCCATTGGCTTGGCAGAGGAAGCTTCCTCTATAGCAGTGGTGGTGTCAAAACTTGATTTCATTGAGTTTGTGTTTGACCTCGGGGGTTTGTGTGGCTGGGGTACGCATGGCCAGCTTGACGTCATTTGTGTCGGGGAGGGGGCACCTGTGTTGGCCAAGTGCTAAGGCAGGACTTCCCTTAGACCCTCCATCACTCTCATTATAATCTCCTTCCTTCCTTCCTTCCTTCCTTCCTTCCTTCCTTCCTTCCTTCCTTCCTTCCTTCCTCTTTTTCTACTTTCTCCTTCCCCCTTCATTCTCCTTTCGTCTTCCTTCCCCTCTTCCCTTATTCCTCGCTATTCCTTCCTCGCTCTCTTCCCATCTTTTTCTTTGACTTCCCTCCAGGGGTGGGATCCGATCGGCAAAATAACCGGTTTCGGGGAGCTCACGCATGCATGTCAAACGCACGCTGTGCACGCTACAGGCTGAGGCAAGCGTTGATCTGCTCCAGCTGACGTGTGGCACTCAGCTGTGCCACGCAAAGCAATTGAGGAGGAAAACGCAGCCACTAAAATGGGGGTCGCCAACCTTTTGGACCCCAGGAACCACCAAACTCAGTTTTAAGTCCCGGGGACCGCTCATATGAATTTAGACTGATGGTGGCTTGTTGACGTTGGTGGGGGGGAGAGAGAGAGAGAGAGAGAGAGAGAGTGAGAGAGAGATGTGACCTAACCTGTCCCTACCTCTCTCTCTCTCTCTCTCTCACACACACACACACACACAGGCAGGGATGGGATTCAAATTTCTTAATAACCGGTTCTGTGGGCGTGGCTTGGTCATGTGACTGGCTGGGTGTGGCTTGTATGTAAATATTATAAATATTTATGTAAATATTTATTTTTCTATTAAAAAAGAGCAACTTTTACCCAAAATCAGGCAAATCAGGCAGGCAGATTGAATTGCTCACAGGATCACAGATTCATTCAGAGATCTATCTTTCTGCCATCGGCTACCTGAGTCTGCACTGAATAATAGAAGCTTCAGTCCTAAGGAAGTTTCTGCTTCTGCTTAAAAGCAAAGCCGAAGATCTAAAGATAGCTAGAAAGAAAGAAAGAAATCCATCAATTCCCTGCTTTCTAGCTAATCTGAATCTGCCAGCACAGCAGAAGAGCTGATGGTCGGAGTGGAAAAAAAAGGAAAAATAGCAACTTAGCAGGCAAGCTAAGGAGTGAGTAGGCGGGAAGGCTTCTCACGGGCCATGTGGGTGGCTCAGCCTTGTGTTTCCATGCAGCCTGGATTAATTGCTTTGAGGGGTGCTCTGGGGGTGACATTTCTCTGCAGACCACCAACATTTTCTACTGCACTAAACGACAGCCTAGAACCTGGGCAGGCGGGTAGGCCAAACAGTAGACCAAAACCTTGTCCCAGCAAACCGGTTCGCTGTCAGCTACTCTTCAGAGCTACCGGCTCTATAGAACTGTACCGAACTGGTAGGATCTCACCTCTGCTTCCCTCTTTCCCTTTCTCCTTTCCTGTCCTTTCTTGCATGCTCAAATGCAAAAGGAGAAACATTTCTCCTTTTGTTTGGTTTTTAGTTTGTTTTGCTATCGCTCTGCCAGCGAAAACAGCGCCTGAGGGGACTGCGTGTGGCCACCAGGGCCCCGTTTTCGACTGAAAACTGAGCCTGAGAGGGCCCCACATAAGCGTTCCCAAGTTCTGTTTTCGCTGGCAGAGGCACCGCGGACCAGTTCTTCGTTGTTTCCAGGGCAGCCTTGAGTTTGACACCCCTGCTGTATAGCGACTGGAAATTGCTAGGGCTAATGGGTGCTGTAAGTAAAAGATTAGGTGCCAGGTTTGCGGGTTGCACTCGAAAACAGCCGTGGAGTAAAAGTGGGATAGAAAAAGCAGCGCAAACACGCCAGATTTTGAGGAGGTCACTTTAGCTGGCTCCCTAAGAATCAAATTTGGTACACTTCGGCTTTCTGTTTGTGCTGGGTACGATCTGATGGAGAACACGACCTGTTGGCAGCACAAGAAAATATATAAAATGAGAGTATTTTATGGGTGAATGATGAGGAAACTTGGTCAGGGCTCCTGTTCAGGCCTTCAGATTCGAAGTTTACCCTTTGTCAGGCGTTTGAGTTGGTCTAGAGAGGAAATCAAAACCGTGAGTAGTAACACTCCTATTCTATTCTCTATTCTGTTTTATTCTATTCTATTCCAATCCTGGGAATCCTTACCTAGTCAGTAGTATTTTTTCAAATGTAGATATGTATTGGACACACCTGCTTTCCAACCTAACCACAGCCAGCTGCATTCTTCATGCAGTTCCTTACACATTCCACAGAGATCAGTCCTAAAAAGGTTGCACACTCCTACCTTAAATGGAATTATTTCAAAAATTCGGGGAAAGATGAGTAGTTCAGGCTTGTTTTCAATCATTGTGAGTCCTCTTTGTCTGAAATATAGTATATGGTCTGCTTGAGCAGAAGTGTGGACTAGAAGACCTCAAAGGTCCCTTCCAACTGTGTTCTTCTGTTATTTTAAGGTTACAGACTCTTGCAAGGCTGAAAACTTCTCCCCTCTCTATATTTACTTTCCAGGGAACTAAGGAAGGTCCTTTCCGTGATGCTTTCCACAACCCCATTTCTTCTGTGGGCTGAAAGTTCTCTTCTCTGACCATTATCTAGCCCAGTGTATCTCAGCTTTGGTAACTTGAAGAGCGTGGACTTCAACTCCCAGAATTCCCCAACCAACATGGCTGGCTGAGGAATTCTGGAAGTTGAAGTCCACGGCGTTTAAAGTTGCCATGGTTGAGAAACACTTAAGTTCCAATTCTGCCTCCTGTCTCCCAAGGTTATTCTCGCATCTACACCCTTGGTTGTTGAAATACAGTGTCATGCCCCTGTCAGAGTCTGAATCCGAGGAGGAAGACAAACAGCTGTCAGGGAGTGTGAGTGTGGCTTTGCTGGCGATGGAGGAAGCTGGGGAAGGGCAAAATCCGGCTGGGCAGAGCAGGGAAGAGGGAGAGCAAGGGAGAGGGAGTTCAGAGGAAGATCCAGGCCCACCCTTCTTCACCCTAGGCCATGCAGGGAGGAACAGAGAAGGGAGCAATGTGGGTTGTGTGGCTTATGGGGGAGGAAAGGGCCCTGATTCCCTTCATTAGCCACAGCTGGGAAGAGAGTTTAAAAGAGATGCATACTGAATGCGGCAACTGCTGGGAGCAAACCCGAGTTTATCTTTTGTTGACTTTGGTTATCTGTGTTCCTGGCCGTCTTCCCAGCCGTGTGGAGTTACTGCCTTGCCTTCACATCTGGAGTTCTTGCTCCTGCCCTGCCAAACTAATTACCTCATCTTGCCTTAACTGGACTTATAGTTACAGTTTTTGTTGACCATGTTTTGGACTTGATTCTCTGCAGCCAAAGGCTGTTCCTAGGAGAGTTTTTCTCCAGCCCAGAAGGTAACTAGGACATTGGGGGCAAAGTTGGAGCTAATAAAGGGACTCTTACCGATTATCTGACTGTGTTGCCTTTGTGCCACGCCCCTTTGGGTCATCACACTCCTGTGTTCTATGCAGGTAGCCCTTGACCTACAACCACAATTGAGCCCAAGGTTTCTGTTGCCAAGCGAGACAGTTGCTAAGCGAACTTTGCCCTGGTTTATGGCCTTTCTCGCCACAGTTGTTAAGTGAATCATTACATTGGTTAAGTTAGTAACTTGAGTTGTTAAATGAATCTGGCTTCCCCGTTGATTTTTGCTAGTCAGAAAGTCGCAAAAGATGATCACATCACACACACACACACACACACACACACACACACACACACACACACACCGGGACACTGCCACCGTATGAGTCAGTTTCCAAGCGTTTGATCCTAGGGGTGCTGCGATGGTTTTTGTGTGAAAAACGCTCATTGGCCACTTTTTTCACTGCTATTGTAACTTCGGTCACAAAATGGAATAGAAGGGAAGGGAGGAGAGGAGATATCTTGGGGTCTTCTAGTCCAACCCTTGCTTAGCCAGGAAACCCTATACCAAGGGTCTCCAAACTTAGCCACTTTAGGACTTGGGGACTTCAACTCCCAGATGACCCTAGTCAGCATGGCTGGCTGGGGAATTCTGGGAGTTGAAGTCCACATGTCTTAAAGTGGCCAGGTTTGAAGACTCCCTGCCCTCTACCATTTCAGACAACTGACTGTCTCTTCTTAAAAACTTCTTGTGTTGAAGCATTGACAACTTCTGGAGGCAAGTTGATCCACTGATTAATTGTTCTAACTGTCAGGAAATTTCTTCTTAGTTCTAAGTTGCTTCTCTCCTTGATTAGTTTCCACCCATTGCTTCTTCTTCCCTCAGGTGCTTTGGAGAATAGCTTGACTCCCTTTTCTTTGTGACAGCCTCTGAACAAACAAACTGTTGTAAGTCCTGAGCATATTCCTACTCTTCCTTTCAGCAGGTTGCAAACAGACCAGCAAGAAGAAAGAACTGCAATGCGGACATTTTGGAGATGTGAAGCTCCGAGCGGTATTTCCTGGCAGAGCCAATTCTTGCCATTGGAAGCAAAGAAGAGACGTCGTCGTCCAGCCGCGCCGTCGTTCCGAGAGGCTGCGGAAGAGCCACCCACCCATCCAGGTGGAAATGCTCTCTTCAACGCCCCGCAGAGTGAAACCGAAGCTGAAAGAACGGCCACCTCCTGCTTCAAAGACCCCCAAGGACCAAACCCAACACTGCGAGGATTGTGGCAAGGATTTCAACGGAATGGCGAGTTTCCTCCGGCACCGTATACGGCACACGGGAGAGAAACGCTACGAGTGCTGTTTTTGCGGGAGAGGGTTCTGCTGGTGGTCAGACCTGGTCCGCCACGAACGCCAGCATACCGGGAAGAAGCCGCACGAGTGCTCCTACTGCGGGGAAGGCTTCGATCGCAAGTGGCTATGCGTCCAGCATCAACAGACCCACCTGCAAAACAAGATGAATCTCTGACCCGACGGGAACAACAACAGCAATAACAAGAAGAAAAGAGAAAGCTTTGCAGCTTTGAATTCAAACAGGAATCAGCAATAGCGCCTCGTCCAGTTTTTAGCGTTATCTTTCTCTGAAGTAAAAAAAAAAATGGCGTAGGAGAAAAGCAGGCCAGAAATCACCGACTCTTGTGAGATTTGGAAAATCCCTCTCTTACCGGGGAGAATTTTGAAATGTCCTGAGATTTCAGCTGTCTAATATATTTTTCTTGAACTGAGGAGAAACTGAGGTTGTATTTTATCACCGAGCCATAAGGGATCCAATATCTATTGCAGCTGGTTGCAGATTCCTGGTGTGATTTTTTTTTTTTTTATCCCATGCAAAGTTGGCCATCTTGTTATTTTTTTTTCAACGCTTTTTATTCAGCCAGCTTTTCATTTAAAAAAAAAAAATGAAAAAGCTATGCTTGCGTTGCAATCAAAAGTTCCCAATTTCTTTTGTGCTTGTTGCTTTATTGACAAAAAAAAATATACGACTGGAACTGTCGATCTGTTTCCCCGGGTTCCACGAGATTAAGAGAAGCTTGGGAACTTGTTTTTTTTCAGTTTAATGAGAAACAGACAGTCCTTGATTTAAGACCAGAATTAGAGTTGCACATCGTGCTGGTCGTTAAACAGCTGGAAACTGGTTTTAAATTGAGGACTTACTTGCCTGTATGTTCTGTTCTCTCCTGATTTTTGCAAAGCTTTCCAGATGCTGCTTGCGTAGGTACTTCGTTTCACAGGTAGCTGATCTCAAGAATGCATGCTTACTAGGAGGCCAATTTATTGGCAATTTACTGATTGAATAAATTACTGCCTTAATAACCAATCAAAGGAAAGTCATTAATCCCCTTAATAGGATCAGCAGTTTTTTCCCCCCAGTCTTTTATTCCCTGTACATGTTAACTTTTCACTCCCCAAATGGCTACCCCACGTAGCTTATGGGATTTGAAAAACTGAAATCTACCTGCTCAGGGCCCAGGGTAGGTTAAAGGGCAGCAAAGCAGAGGTTTAAAAGGTGTGAAGCTCTTTAGATATATTAAAATCTCAATGTGATATATGAACGGCACAACACAGGTTGTGGTTTCTTCTTTTGGAGTATTGTTCTCAATCTTGGCCCCAGTTTTTCGTAACGTTGATAGCCGTTTGGAAGATTTTGCACAAGTCCCAAAAGGAAGAAAGAAAACCCTACAGTATGATAAGAATCTAGGTCACAAAGATGGGAGACTTTTTATAAAGGTGGTCTAGCTTAGAAATGCCCACCATACATTGTCGCATGACCATAACACAAGTACCTTTCGAAATGCTCAAGTGCTGCTCAGATCTTAAAAGAAAATTACAGTGTAGGTGAATGGGAAGAGTATTTGTTCCCAGAATTTGTACTCATTGGCGTTAGACAAACTTTTATTTTTTTTCCTCTTGTTTTACAAGCCTCCCTTAAGGTTCTCTGTTCTGTAATAGTGCTGTTTTCAAACTGAACGTAATTAGCATCTTGTTGATTAAATGTTTCTGGTTTCCACCCAGCTGCGATAAAATGCTAAATATGTTGGCTCTTTAAGACAATGTCTCGAATTCATTGATTAACCTGTCTTCAGCTTTGTAATTTTTTTTCAACAGCTAAAGTTTTAGACAGTATCGAATGTCTGTTTCTCTATTTTATAGATAGCGAGGCTTCGTTATCTTAAAGTTAAAATAAAAAATTTAAAAATACCTTCCGGGAGACGTGTGGGCAAATTATTTTATTTTACTAAGATTCTGTTTGCTCATTGAGCTAGCAACTTTGGAAAAAAATAAAATCCTCCCCCACCCCACCTTGTCTTGGTTGCTAGTTCCAGCTTTGGTTGGTGTTTATACTATGGAACAGAGAAGATTTTTTTTTAAAAGATACAGAATAATAAAGTTGAAAGCGACCAGTTCCAACTCTCTACTGTGGAGAAATTGTGGAGCACCCACAACTTCTGAAAGCAAGCAAATTCTACTGGTTAATAGCCCTCACTGTGGGTAAGTTTCTTCTTAGTTGTAAAGGTTGCTTCTCTCTTTGATTAGTTTTATGATGGTTGCGGTGTCCTGAGGTCAGGGGATTCCTCATTCGAAGAAATTTCCTGAGTTCATTTCCTAGCTGGGAAGCAGTCACCGGTGCTGAGAAGAAATAGACAGGGAAGCCAGCTGCCAGAAAAAGGATCCTTTAATTCAGGAAGGCAAGAAAAGTAGTGACATAGCTTATTATTATTATAATACACAAAAATGACAGTATACACAGCAAACGAGATAACCATGCCGGGTTTCGTATCACAAATCACTAGTCGAACGCTTCCCAAGTGTTTAGGACTGCGTGATGTATCGGCAGATTATGCAAGCAGATCCCAGTAAGGTGGCCTTCTGCGACTGACCAATGGTGATCTTGTCAGCGCCAATTGCTTTTAAGTGCTTGCCTAGGTCTTTAGGCACAGCACCCGGTGTGCCAAGTACCACTGGAACCACCTGCACTGGTTTATGCCAGAGTCTCTGCAGTTCGATTCTCAAGTCTTGATATCTGGTGACTTTTCAAGTTGTTCCTCATTGATTCTGCTGTCATCAGGTATGGCAATGTCGACGATCCTCACGTTTTTCTTCTCCACAATCGTGATATCTGGGGTATTGTGTTCCAAAACTTTGTCAGTCTGTATTCAGAAGTCCCACAGTAGTTTTGCATGCTCATTTTCAACCACTTTTTCAGGCTCACGATCCCACCCAGTTCTTTGCTACAGGCAGATGGTAGTTGTGACACAAGTTCCAGTGGACCATCTGAGCGGCCGTGTTGTGATGTTGTTTGGAGTCAGTCTGAGCTATTGTCTTGCAACAGCTCAGTATGTGATCAATTATTATTATTATCATTATTATCTTTATTGTCAGAGTACAGCATGTGTACAATGAGGTTGGCTGAGCCTCCCTTCGTGCACTCCCACTCCCCAACACAACTCAGTGAGGAGCTGGAAAGGGAAGGTAAGACCAATGGCGGTGGAGGGAAATCCGCCCCGGGGTGGCTTGCTGACGTTGGTGGGAAAGTCGGTCCCATATTCCAGAGCTGCAGTAGTCATAAGACTGGCCCTTTGGTCATCCCAGAGCAGCTCCTCCAGTCCATGGCAGGCCGGTGCATCTGGGTGGAGGAGCAGCTGGTCCGAGATGACCAAAGGGCCAGTCCTGTGACTACTGCAGCTCTGGAATATGGGACCAACTTTCCCACCAACATCAGCAAGCCACCGCCAGTCAAAATTCATATTAGTGGTCCGCGAGATTTAAAATTATGAGTTTGGTGGTCCCTGAGGTCCAAAAAGTTGGCGACCCCTGTTCTAAAGCAGGGGTCTCCAACCTTGGCAACTTTAAGACTTGTGGATTTCAATTCCCAGAATTCCTCAGCCAGCTTTGCTGGGAGTTGAAGTCCACAAGTCTTAAAGTTGCTAAGGTTGGAGACGCCTGGTCTAAAGTCTTTGGAGGCGAGGGAGAATATCTGGGAGCAGAAGCTGTTGAGGGGGACAACAGCTGTTGTCCCCCTCAACAGATGTTCTGGAGGACAGAAGTGAAAACTCGAATGAGACAATTACGGGGAGGCTGGAGATAAGCAAGACTGAGACTTCCAGCCAGTCAGGCTGCATTAGATAGAATCGATATATCCAGATGTTTGTGAGATTGAAAATAAAATGTATACCTGTTGTGGTTGGCCAGCAGCCTGCGGAGACGGCATCAGAGCCGGACAGTGGGGAGGTACATGGGCCAGTCTGGGAGTCTGGGGAGGACTCAGGTGTTGGCCCTGCGTCCGATATAGAGATGGGCCTAGGGCTATCTGGAAGTTATGTGCTGACTCCGGAGCCTCCAGAATCTGACAGCAGTGAGGCAGAACAGGCTCTCAGTGCATGCATGTGCGCAGAGCTGCCAGAAGGCAAGAGCAGTTAAGACAAAAGGGACGACTCAGGAGTAAGGCTTGGAGGTGATTGCCCCTCCCATAAGGTATAAGGGAAGTGCAAAGGGACAGGAACCTTTGCAGGAAGCAACATTGTTCTTTCTTTTATTCTGGTCGGTTTGGAACCTTGAAAGCTCCCTGGTGAATTTGTGCTCCCGTTTGGTTTTGAAAGACTTCATTGGTACTTCAGTCGTGGGCAGCACTTCAAGAAAGATAAAGGTGCCTTCTTATCAGACTTCTGAAGAACTTTGGCAGACTTCCATAGGACTATTTATAACCGGTTGAGACTCATTACGGGGCTGGGAATGATGGTAATTCACAGCCGTTGAGCTAAAATTTAAAGGGTTTTGGATTTAATATGCATTTGTTGGGGTCTCAGGAAGCTTTGGTCAAAACAATACCAAACAAAATCCCTACGTTTCCTTTGCTTGCCACTGCATGCTGCCTTCTCAAATACTCCATTGTTGTTTAACCACGTTGACTAGCCTGGATTAAAAAAGGGGGGGTCTGTCAACCCTGATGAAATTTCATAACTGGTCTGCCCCCTCCTTTGAAAAGCACATGGATTTTTACAGAATGATAGAGTTGGAAGGGACCTTGGAGGTCTTCTAGTCCAACCCCCTGCTTAGGCAGGCAACCTTTACACAACTTCAAGACAAATGGCTATCCAATCTCTTCTTAAAAAGTTCCAGTGTTGGAGCATTTACAGCTTCTGGAGGCAAGTTGATTGTTACCACTGTATTAATTGTTATGGCTGTCAGGAAATTTCCTCCTTAGTTCTAAGTTGCTTCTCTCCTTGATTAGTCTCCACCCATGGCTTCTTGTCCTGCCCTCAGGGGGCTTTGGGGAATAGCTTGACTCCCTCTTCTTTGTGGCAGACCCTGAGATACTGGAACACTGCTATCCTGTCACCCCCTAGTCTTTATTTTCATTAAACTAGACACACCCAATTCCAGCAATCGTTCTTCATGTTTTATCCTCCAGTCCCCTAATCGTTTTAAATAGTGTGGCATACCTAAACGCACAATCGTGCCTACTGTTCC